CCGACAGTGCGGCGCTCCCTCGGCGCTGACCCCCCGACAGTGCGGCGCTCCCTCGGCGCTGACCCCCCGACAGTGCGGCGCTCCCTCGGCGCTGACCCCACCCCACCTTCAGACAGTGTGGCGCTTGCTCAGTAGTGCACTTGACTGTCTTGCACGATCTTTGTGCCAAAGATTTGGAGTGTCTGTTGTGATTTTCACCTGACTTACTGAAATGTTGATAGTTTGCTACATTTAATAAAAAAATGCTGGCAATGCTTAATCTGGCTAAAACCTACGGAGAGACAAATAAAACTAATGTTTTCGGTTCATGACCTGGTCAAAGAATGGTTGTTGCTAATAATGCATGATTAATTTATTATTTCTTGCTGATGAATACACATCTGTTAAAGTTCATGTCATTTGTATGTTCTCCCAGTTGAAGTCTCTGGTTGTGGCATAGATTCCTTGCAGCATCTGAAGACTGATTTACGGTCCTGAGGTCGCAGTTTCTGGAGAATTTTAACAAACAGAATTCTAAACATCTCAAGAACATCATTAATACAATTGTCAACTCCCTGATCTTGCTCTGTTGCAGTGCCCCATCTTTGAGTTCTCTCCTACCACAAGAACCTAATTGGTACAGTTCAGGAGGAGGCCATTTGGCCCATTTTTGGATCTGTTCACTGCTCTGACTGAGCATTTCACTTTGTGCAGTTCTCCTGCATGTACCCCATAACTGGGATGGGACCCATCAGATTGAAAAATGGCAAATGTGATGCATCTATTCAAGAACCAAAAACAACAGAAAGCAGGAAACCACAGACCAGTTGGCCTAATGTCTACAGTCGCGGAGATGCTGGAATCTAGATTTAACTGGATATAACTAGGTTATAACTGGACACTTGGAAAATCTCAAGGAGGTCAGACAGAGTCAACAAAGTGTGGAGCTGGAGGAACACGGCAGGCCAGGCAGCATCAGAGGAACAGGATAGCAGACATTTCAGGTTGGGTCTGCTTTCCTGTTGTGTTCCTCCAGCTCCACACTTTGTTATCTCTGACTCTAGCATCTGCAGTTCTTGCTATCTCAGACAGAGTCAATATGGTTTTGTGAAAGGGAAATCATGATTTGATTATTAGAGTTCTTTGAGGAACTAATAAGCAATATAGATACAGGGGTACCTCTGGATGTACCAGAAGGAAATTAACATAGTTCAACATCATGGTTTCTGTGCAAAGTAAGGGCCTGTCGTCTTTGGAGTAACACATTGAATGGATTGGTTGGCTGATTAAAAGCAAAGGATGTAAATAAATGGGCCATTTGTTTTTTGGTGTTGGCAGGATGTGATGTGTAGTTGGCCCCAGATTTCAGTATTGGTGCCTCAATTATTTACAATCTGTTAATGATTTAGATGAAGGGACCAAATGAGTGGTGGTTAGATTTGCTGATGGCACAATGTTAGGAGAATATATCTAGAAGACACAAGTCTGTAAAAGAATGTAAATAGTTAAATTGGATCAGTAAAAAAATTTGCAAATGGAATATATCATGGAAAAAAATTAACTTGTTGATTTTGCAGGAAGAATAGAACAGCAGCATACAGTTGACATTTTGGATGATGTAAATGGTAGTGATTAATTAAGCAACTCAGTTGAGGAGGCTCCACCAATTTCCCTATCCTCCAATGATGGAAGAGCCCAGCACAAGATAAGGCTGAAATATTCACAGCAATCTTCGGCCAGAAGTGCCGAGTGGATGATCCATCTTGGCCTCCTCCAGTGGCCTCCAGGAAGATGCCAGTTTTTGGCCACTTCCATTCTCTCCATATGAAATCAAGAGATGGTTGGAGGCCTTGGATACTGCAAAGACTATGGGCCCTGATAGCATTCTGGCAATACTACTGAAGGCTTGGGATCCAGAACTTGCTGCTCTCCTAGCCAAGTTTTTCCAGTACAGTTACTATGCTAGCACATACCTGGCAATGTTAGGGGAAGATGACATCCCAGTGTTATCGTTTGCTGGACTGTTAGTCCAGAGACTTGGGTAATGTTCGGAGGACACAGGTTTGAATCCCACCCCAATGGATGATGGAATTTGAATTCATTAGAAACCTGGAATGAAGGGTCTAATAATGGCCGTGAATCCATTGCCGATTTTATTAGGAAAAACTGGTTCAGTGATATCCTTCAGGGCGGGTAACTGCCATCCTTAGCTGGTCTGACCAACATGTGACTCTGGTCCCAGGCAATGCAGTTGACTCTCAACTGCCCACTGTACAAATCGGAAGTGGCCACTGAAAGCTGGCCTACTCAGCGCAGCCTCATCCTGTGAGTGAATTTTTTTGAAAGTGTGGAAAATTGCCCAAGTATGTCCTGTACATAGTAAACAGGGCAAATTTAACCCAGTCAGTTATCCCCCCCATCAATCTACTCTCTGTCATGAGTAAAGTGATGGAAGGTGTCATCAACAGTGCTTTAAAGCAGGATCTGCACAGCAATAACCTGCTCACAGGCACTCTGTTTTGCTTTTGCCAGGGCCCCTCAGCTCCTAACCTCACTACAGCCTTGGTTCACATGTGGACAAGAGCTGCATTTCAGAGGTGAGATGAGCTGAGAGTAATAGCCCTTGTCATCAAGGTGGCTCTTGACCCACTGTGGCATGAAGAAGCCCGAGCTAAACTGTAATCATTGGGTATTGGGGGCAAGCTTTCTGCTGGTAGGAGTCATACTTGACACAGAGGAAGATGCTTGTAGTTGTTGCAGGTCAGTAGCCTGAGTTCGAGGACAGCTCTGCAGGAGTTCCTCGGGGTGACATCTTATGCCCAACCATCTTCAGCTGCTTCATCAATGACCTTCCCTCCATCATAAGGTCAGAAGTGGCGATGTTTGCAGATGATTGCATAATGTTCAGCACCCTTTGTGACTCCTCAAATACTGAAGCAGGCCATGTTCAAATGCAACAAGATCTAGACAGTGCCAAAGCTTGGGCTGACAAGTGGCAAGCGATATTTGCACCACACAAGTGCCAGGCAATGACTGTCTGTTATTGAAGACAATCTAACCACACCACCCTTTGACATTCAGTGATGTTACCATCACTGAATTCCCCATGATCAACATCCTGGGGTTTACCATTGACCAAAAACTCAGCTGCATAACCAGTGGCTACAAGAGCAGGTCAAAGGCTAGAAATACTGTGGTGAGTAACTCGCCTCCTGACTCCCCATAGCCTATCCACCATCTACAAGGAAGAAGTCAGGAGTGTGATGGAATACTGACACAAAAATAGAAATAGCTGGAAAATCGCAGCAGGTCTGGCAGCATCTGTGTAGAGAAATCCGAATTAGTGTTTAGGTTCGAGTGACCCTTCTTCCCTCCATTTTGTGATAGAATATTCCCCACTTGCCTGGAAAAGTGCAGCTCAATCAACACTTGAGAAGCTTGACACCATCTAGGGCAAAGCAGCCCATTTGATTGGCACTACATCCACTCCCTCCATCACTTATGCTCAGTAGCAGCAGTGTGTACTATCTGTAAGAAGAAGCACTGCAGAAGTTCAGCAAGGCTCCTTAGACAGCACATTTCAAACCCATGACTACTACCATCTGGAAGGACAAGGGCCGCTGTTATGAGAATGCCAACACCTGCAAGCACCCCTCCAAGTCATTCGCCATCATAACTTGGATAGATCATCATTCCTTCAGTGTCGCTGGGTTAAAATCCTGAAACTCGCACCGTAAGGGCACTGTGGGTCCATCTACAGCATATGGACTGCAGCAGTTCAGGAAGGCAGATCACCACCATCTTCTCAAGGGGACAACTAGGGGCAGGCAGTAAATCCCCACCCATGTCCCATGTTTAAATAAACAGGAAACATTTTGACCAGTGAGGTACAGTGCGATCTGGGTGTCCTGATGCATACATCACATTGATATCTGGGATAAAAGTGGGGGTCTTTATCATGTGTGCAAATGTACTTGCTGGGCCTGTATCTGCTGGCATGGAGAAGAGTGAGAGCCTGAGTGAATGTGACACTGGATGGTGAAGGGATGTTTCTTTACGTGGGTGAGACTACCCCTAGGGGCAACAATTTAAAAATAAGTGGTCATAGAGTTTTATAGCACAAGAAGAGCCCCTTGGGCCTGTTGTAACTTGGTCATCAAGGACCAATCTACGCTAATCCCATTTCTCAGATCTTGGTCCATAGCCTTGGATGCGATGATATTTTTAAGTAAAATTAAACAAAGAACTGTGGATGCTGGAAATCTGAAGCAAAAAGAAAAAAAAAATGGCTGGACAAACTCAGGAGGTCTGGCAGCATTTGTGATGATAAAGCAGAGATCCATACTCAATGCCGTGTGCCATATGTACACTCTTAACTTCTGTCTCCATCCTGCTGGCTCTGAGCTATGCTGCCCACCCCCACCATCCCCTGTTTTGTTTCATTGTCTGGCTCTAATAGCAATGGGGCAATTCAAGTGTTCATCTAAATGCTACATAAACGTTTACTCTCATTTAAGTGTTATAAAGTGGAGGTTTATACACACCTCCCCCCCCCCCCCCCCCCGACTCTGATAATTAAACTAAAAATTGAAACACCCAAAGAGGAGCACTTCACCCTATAATCTGTTAAAAGGAGTGTGAAAACTGGTGTAATCTACTTTTCCTCAACTTCTAGTGGTTAAATAAAACAAGTCCCTGACACTTTACAATCAACAAGTAACAATTTATTTATCTAACTCTAACAGCGAATGAACTAACTAAATTATTAACAACTGAATAAACCCCTTCTATCTAATAACTATTCCTGAATAAAACAACTTTCTAATAGCATGCTGTTCCAATAAATACAAGTCCCATTAATATAAAATAAAAAGATTAGAAAACATAGGCTTTAGTCTCTCAATTACAGCCAGGTTACGTCTTTCAGAATGTCACGTCTTTCTGGGTGGGATGCTCTGAGGTTTGGTGTGGACTTGTTGGGCCGAAGGGCCTGTTTCCACACTGTAGGGATTCTATGATTCTATGTTTTGTGCCTTCTCCGTGGAAAGTTCTGTCCGGAAAGCCTTCTCTGTTGAATTCTTCTGTCAGGAATATTAACTAGATGGTGCTTTCTCTAAGAATTGGAGAAGACTGAGAGAGCTAGCGATTCTCTCTTGAGAGCTGTTGACTGTCCTGATTTTTTTTTTTTTTTTGTTTTTCAACTGCCCTTTCCTTTTATACCTTTTGACATATCGATTTCTTTCTTGCAATAGGATTGGTCTTATGTTGTCAAAACCATTGGATTTAATTGGTTTTTAGTCTCTGAAGTGTCTAATTCAAGTTGATTGGCTAAATTCAAAACTTGTCTTGATAACAAAACAAAACTGCTGCTTTTTTGATACAAATGTTTCAACTCCAGGGATCTCAGTGCAAACCCACAAGCTGCAACCCCCAGACATCCTTTTTGGAATCGCTGAGCATAGAAAAAGCATATCATCTTTTAAAGTGACCACACGCTGCTTCCCTTCTCCATCACCACCACCACCCCCACCACCCTCCCGCCCACTATTTTACAAACACCAAATTCTAACTTCCTGCTTTCCAATCCACAAGTACTGTACCCAACTTTTGCAACATAAGACAGATGAACAGGAAATTTTTTGTCTGGGATGTTAGCCTTTAGAAATCTTTCTCCAAAGGATGGAGAGTCATTCATTTACAGCATTGGTAAATAGATTCTTACCAATCAGAGGCTCAAAGGTTATGAGGCTTATGTGGTGATATATAGTTGAGACTACAATTGGATCAGAGGGGCAGAGTACCCTGTTCTTTCTTCTAATTTGCGTGTTCATAAATGACTATCTACCTTTTCAGATGAAAATCTAAATTTGCATTCCATGAATGAATTTAAAAAAAAGTTCTCTCTATCCTGTCCAGTCCCCTCATGATTTTGAACATCTCCAATTCAGTGTTTATTCTCAGGGTATGGGCTTCACTGGCTGGGCCAACATTTGCTGTCCTTCCCTAATTGCCCTTGTGAAAGTGGTGATGAGCTACCTTCTTGAACTGCTAAAGTCCATATGATGTAGGGCTACTCAACACTGTTAGGGGGGAGATTCCAGGATTTTAACCTAGTGATGCTGAAGGAACAGTGATGTATTTCCAAGTCAGAATGGTGAGTGGCTTGGAGGGGATCTTGGAGGTAGTGGTGTATCAGCTGTTTGTGTTTCACTGACGTGACCTGCAAGTCTTTCCCCGGTGGAAGATGACAACTGACCTGTTTCCCAGCTGATGGGAGAGTCACTTGTGCATTAGGTGAGGTGCCCAGCTTTGACCCAATTAGCCACATATTATGATGTTATTGTTCTCTCTGAATTGCCCATTGGACTGACCACTGTTCCTGCTACTCCAAGATACAAAAGGAAGACAAAACAAACGTGCAAGAAAGCTTTTACTTTTAAAAGTAAAATAGTAGAAATAAAATTGAATTGATAGAAAAGGAGGGATAAGTAATGCAGAGAAATAATGAATTTGAAAGAGTGAATCTAGATTTGATTATTTCGCTACCCTCTTGACCAGCCTCACATTTAAAATTTGAAACTTGGGTCAGAAACAACTGTGCTAAGCTTAAAATAATGGTAATTACAAAATAATGAGGGCAGAACTGGCTGGTGTAGACTGGGAAAGGAGTTTAGCAGCAAAAATGGTTGAGGGTCAATGGTAGACATTTAACCTCAGGACATAGTCTCAGAATAAGGGTTTGCCTGTTTAAGACAGATGAGGAGGAGTTTCTTCTCTGAGGACATTGAATCAGTGGAATTCTCTATAGCAGAGGGCTGTTGAAGCTGAGACTGACTGATTTTTAATCAGTAAGGGAATTGAGGTTTACGGGGAAAAATCAGTACAATGGAGTTGAGGATTATCAGGTCAGCCAGGATCTCATTGAATGGCAGAGCAGACTTGTTGGGCTGAATAGCCTACTTATGGTCTCGCCCTTGTTTCCAAATTCCTCCCTGGTCTAATATAACTGTCTTCCATCTCTGTAATCTTCAACCTCACAATCCTCCAATTCTGGCCAGTTGCTCCTCTTGATTTTTAATCCTGTGTCATTGGAAGCTATGCTTTGAGATGCCAAGGTCTTGAGCTCTAGAATATTTTGCCTAACCATTTCCATCTCTCTGCCACCCTCTCCTCTTTATAAGACATTTCTTTTAAAACAGCCTCTCTCGACCGAACTTTGGTTGCCTATCTCTTTTTGAGCTCAGTATCAAAGTTTTTCTGTGGAGTGTCTTGGAACAGTTGACTCCATCTATGGTAAGTTTATAAACAGAAGTTGTGAAATGAGAGAAGGATTGTGGTGAAGACAGAGTGAACAGAGCAGGGTGCAGTTTTTATTTCACCAGAAATGGGATTCTCCAGTAATTCTCACTTTGTTCTATGGAAATTGACTGCCGGCTTTCAGTAACAACAGTGCCTACGCTCTTGAAAGTTTCTAATTGACTGTGAATTGTTTGGGACATTGTGAGGTTGTGAAAGGTGCTATGTAAATACAACTCTTTCTTGGTACAATGTAAGTAAACTTGGTTTTGCAGTACAGAGCTTGAGTTTTGTTGATAGAAGACTTTTGATGAGTGCAATACATAAAGCCCCAATGAGATATTTTGCAAGAATACAAAATCAAGGTTCATACTAATTTAGGTGTCAGCTTATGTCAGGATGCAAGATGAAAAGCTTTGACAAGACATCTTTTTTTCAGCAACAAAATTCAGTTTTAGGCTTATATGTTTGGCATAGTTAGCTTTCTACAGATGCAGCAGAGGCTGGCTGATAGAACTGATAAACTTCTAATAAGCTCCAAACTTGGTTATAGTGTAGAAATATGTTTTTTTTTTTTTATTCATTCATAGCATATGGGCATTGTTTGTTGAACCAGAATTTACTTCCCAGCCCATATTACTCTTTGACAAGATGCCCCTGAACCTCTTTACACTCCAGCGATTGCAGCAGTAGAAGTAGGAACACCTGTGCTGGTTTTAGGGAATGAGTTCCAGGATTTCGAATTGGTGACACTGAAGGAATGCTCCTGTATTTCCACGTCAGGATGGCATGAGATTTGGACTGGAATTTACAGGTGCTGGTGTTTTCACTCGGTTCTTGGTGGTAGTGTTGTGGGTTTTGTAAGGTGCTGTCGCAGGACCCTGGAGGAGTTACTGCAGTGTGTCAATAGTAAAGGGAGTAAATGTGGAAATTGTTAGATGGATGCCATTCAAATAGACTGCTTTGTCCTGGATAGTGCCAAGCTTCTTGATGTTGGCGCTGTAGTCATCCAGGCAGGTGTGCAGTATTACATTGCTCTGCTGGTTTGCACCTATAGCCAATGGTCAGACATTAGGGAGACTGGAGGTGACTTACCCCTGAATTTTTTTTTTCTAATTCATTCTTGGCGTGTGGGTGTCACTGAGCCAGCATTTATTACCAACCTTAGTCCTCCCTTGAGGAGGTGGTCACACGCTGCCTTCTCAAACAGCTTCTGTCCATTTTTTTTTTTTTAAATTATTTTAGTTGTTGTAATACCCATAATGTTGTTAGGGATAGAGTTCCAAGATTTTGATCCAGCAGCACTGAAGGAACAGCAATTATATTCTAAGCCTCTGACCTGAACTTGTCACAGTATTAGTATGTCTGTCCCATTTCCATTTCAGGACAATTGTAATTCTTAGTATTTTGATAGTGGGGAATTTATTGGATTATGTCTCTTTTTAAAAAAAAAGTTACCTTTTCTATTTGCCGTCCATAGGTGTTTGCTGTTCGATCTGGGGGTGCTACTGGTGTGGTGGTTAAAGGGCCCGATGACAAGATCTGCATCTCTTTCAGGTAAGGCATGATGTAAAAATACAAGGTAGGCTATTCAAACCGTATGCTGGAGACATTGAGTAGAAATTGGAAGGAGGTTTTGAAATGGCATTAATTGAAACAAACCTTAAGAAAGCTCCTAGATTTGCAGATGAATGTTGATAAACTGATGTGTGATGAAAACACATATGGTTCACTGGGGGTAGTACACCTCAAACTTAACTTTACACGTGTTCGTGTTTAATGGGTTTTTTTTTCCTGCATTCAGCCTAAATTGTCAGAATGGTTTTATTTCACTAATTCTGACCCACCAGCTGCATCGGCTGAGGGGGGCAGTGATGTCGTGGTAATGTCACTAGGCTAGTTATGCAGAGGCCCAGTCTAATGAGGACCTGACTTCAAAGTGGTGAAATATAAATTTAAACTAATAGGATATCTGGAATTGAGAGCTACTGATGGTGGCCATCACAGCTAGCCTAATGGGAACCAAGTAAGCATTGTTTTTTTTTTTTTTTTTTTTACAAAAATTGACATCTTGCTTAGGGAAGGAAATTTGCCATCCTTACCTCGTCTGGTCTACCTATGTTTCCAGAGTCACAGCAATGTAGTTGATTCTTAAATGCCTCTAGGCAGTTGGGGGATTGACAATAAATGGTGGCCTAGCCAAATGCTGGTCTTGCCAGCAATGCCCACATCCCATGAAAAAAATCAACATAGGTGGTAGCGCATTTCTTCAATCTTTATTCCAGCTGGAAACCAAAGCTTAAGAAATGAAATTATTTTGAGAAGTCAGTCTCTTTCCTTTTAAATAATTATGTACAACTGTCTCTGCCAAATCGGTTGAAATATGAAAAAATGCTGAGGCATATGTGGAGATAGAAACCGTTAACACCCAAGATGGATGGGCTTCTTTTTGACCTGGGAAAGTTTGAGATGTAACAGATTAAAAGACCAAGTTTAGGAAGGAACAAAGGGAAGACCTGTTATGTGCTGGAAGGTAGGAAAAATTAAACAGGAGAAGGCAACAGATGATGATGAGATAGGTCTCAAAACAACAGCTGGAACTACAGACTGACAATGGATTCTGCAGTTGTCATTTGAACGATTTAGGAACAGTGATTGATTTCAAATGAAACTCAAGTCTTTGTGCAAGTTGGAACAGTTTCCTGAAGTATCCATGAATAGTTTAACGTTCTTTCAAACAGTATTGTTTTATCCTCGCCAGCAGCACCTACATATCCATAGAGAGGAGCTGAGAAACTGACTGGTTCCTGATTGTGGTGGTGCACTGTGGCAGGGCTGTAGATAATTATGGTTTTGGTACCTTCCTTAGGAACCTTCATTTCCACTTTCTGACTTATTTTTAAAAAATAGGAAATGTCTTGTCTAGGCAGAAAAATATTTACCATTTTTTAGTAATTTATTGATATGATCTCTTGGTTGAAGTTGAAATGATCTCTTGCTGTGAACAAAACATGCATATCACAAATAACACAGTGTGGAGCTGGAGGAACAC